AGCCTGAACATTTATGCTTCAGAAATAGAACAATCCTTCAAATCAAGATTTGATTTATCATTTTGTTGATTATCTAGATTTAAGAAAATGATAACATGTGAATAATGCAGATTAAACTTAAAAGTGTGTTGTTGGGGCTTTTTATTTTCCTGGAGAGCCATTACCAGTACATACCTCCCAGCCTCAAGTAGAGGCATGTACTACTCATTGCACTAGATCCTGGGGTTACAAAGTCAAAAATGGTGTGGTCTAGTAGGCCAAAGTTCCCCCTCCCTGTCTTAATCTTTCCAGTTACTAATATTTTCACTGCAATTGTTATTTTGCAGTTAATTTTCTATGTACTTCTTGTTTCTCCCCAGTAACTGGGATGCTCCTTTGGAGGCAGAGACCACATCATTTTTGTCTCTGTATCTCCAGGATCTAGGGCAATGAGTAGTAGGTGCCTCTACCAAGGAGGAAATGCATTCTGTGCATGAGGGGAAGCTTATGGAAAAACAAATGGGAGATGAAAGTTCCTTTGTGATAAATTACAAGAAGTCCAATTTGTCTGGAATGTGGAACATGTGAAAGAGAGAAATGGGCAGCAATCCTAGTAAAGTCATCTCGAGCCAGATTATGGACTTTTAAAGCCAAGCAGAAGAGTATATATTTTATCTCTAGAGGCAAGCAGGTATGGCTGATTCTCAAATGGCATGGTCCACATTTGTATTTTAGGGAGGGAATGAATCTGTGATTTCACTGGTAGAGATAATTCCTGAGTGAAGAAGAAATTCTTTGTACTAAGGTTCTTACCTTCTCTGCAACTTTAAAAACATTTTTTTAGAATCTTTTTTTTTAATTTATGGAATAAAAGAAACATTTCTACAACATAATATAAAAAGATGATTACGCATGAAACTGCATATCTATGATGTACAACTTGCTATTCCTTTTAAACATATCATGCACATTATCATGTACATGTATACTAGTTATCATGTACAGTATGTAAAAAGTTGCCTAGAGCACTGAGAGGTTGTGACTCGTTCAGGGTCACATAACAAGTGTGTGGCAGAGGTCTAGACTTGAATCCAGGTCTTGCTGGCTTTGTAGCCAATTCTGTCTCCAATATTCCATGATTCATGGAGGATGGATAGGAGAGGAGAGGAGAGGAGAGAGAGAGAGAGAGAGAGAGAGAGAGAGAGAGAGAGAGAGAGAGACAGACAGACAGACAGACAGACAGACAGACAGAAAGACAGACAGAGACAGAGAGAGAGAGGGATAGAGAAAGGGAGAAAGGGAGAGAGAGAGGGAGAGAGACAGAGAGAGGGAGAGAGGGAGAGAGGGAGAGAGAGAGAGAGAGAGAGAGAGAGAGAGAGAGAGAGAGAGAGAGAGAGAGAGAGAGAGAGAGAGAGAGAGAAAGAGAGAGAGAGATGAAGGACAAGTTAGGGGGCTATTGCAATAATTCAGGTGAAAGGTTACAAGGGTCTGAATTAGGATAGTTTTAATATGAATGGAAAAAAGGAAGCAAATGTAAGAAATGTCAATCTGAGGAGTTATGCAGAGGAAAGAATTAAAGATGAGTGGAGGTTGCAAACCTGGGTGATTTAAAAAAATGTTGATGCCTTCAAAATAAATAAGGAACTTAGAAGATGTGTGGGTTTGTGGGGAAAGATAGTGAGTTCTCTTTTGGCCTTTTTGAGTTTGAGAAATATCCAGGAGACATATCAAACATGGTGATGTTTGATAGATTGTTGGCAATATGGGAAGGGGGTTTAAATGAGACACTGGGGACACACACACACAAACACATATATTCAACATACATATACATATGTATGCATGTATGTATTTATGTATACACACATATGTATTGCAGACATACTCATATATTAAACCAAGCTTGTGGGATTTTGCATGCTGCTATATATGCAAAGGCAGATGTGATTCCTAATTTATGAAGTGAATAATGAGAATTGACTTTTTGTACATCCCATAATTGGTACCACCCACTTTGGGGAAAAGATGTGTGGTTTCAGAGACCTTCTTCAGAGACACTGCATAAGAAACACATTTTCATCCTTCAGTGAAGATGTAAATGGCGTCAAGATTAGCTCCTGCACTGATGGTAAAGTATTTAACTTGAAAAGGCTACAAGCCAAGACTAAAGTGGAGGGAAAGTTGGTGCCTGATTTTTATTCGCAGATGATTGTGCACTCAAAGCATTCTCTGAGGCTGATTCTCTGCTGCTTGTGCTAATTTTGGCCTAAAAATTAACACCAAGAAAACAGGTTCTCCACCAGCCAGCACCGCACCATCCATATTGGAACCATCAGTTAAAAGGAGAAATGTTGAATATTGCAGATAAGTTCACTTACCTTGGCAGTATACTTTCCAGGGACGCACACATAAGTGATGAGGTTGATGAATGCATTGCCAGAGCCAGCTTAGTGTTTGAGAGGCTCCGAAGGAAAATGTGAGAAAGAAGAGGTATTAGACTGCTTTCCATGTTGAAGGTCTACAGAGCTGTTGTGCTGACCTTATTGTATGCCTATTTAATATTAGTTATTTGTACATTATTTTATCTCCTCTACTAGAATATAAACTTCAAGAGATATTAATGCTTTTCCTGACTTTACCTCCCTGCTATTCCTTGCACAAGACTTTTTGACAAGTCTTTCATGCCTGGAATTTTCTCCCTCCTCATCTCTGGCTCCTGGCTTCTCTGGTAATTTCCAAGTCCCAACTAAGCTATTACCTTCTACCCAAGAAGCCTTTCTTGATCTCCCTTAATGCCTAGTCTCTTCACTCTATTGATTATCTCCTATTTATCCTGTATATATCTTGTTTACATATAGTTGTTTGCACACTGTCTCTCCCATTTTGAATATGAACATCTGGAGAATAGGGACTGGTTTGTTTTTCTTTTGTTTTCTTTTTGCTTTTTTATTCCCAGTGCTTAGCACAGTCTCTAGAACATAGTACGTGTTTAACAAGTGTTTGTTGACTTGATTTGTTGACTGATTCTTCCTCCCTATCCTAATTCCCCAATTTGTTATCTCCTTTCTCAAATTTTTGTAGTATTTATATTTCTCTTGTATATTTTATGTTCCATTAAATATTGGTTATTTGTGTACTGTTATATTACTCCTTCTAGAATGTAAACTCCAAGAGGGTAAAGGTGCATTTTATTTGTTATTCTGTATTCCCCAGGAGTAGCAAAGCATTCTGCATAATAAAATGTTTGTGGAATCATGGCAGATTTAAACCTATATAAATAAGCATTGTCATGACTTCAACAGCTTTCCATAAAAAAAAAAACAACTCTCTTTAGCTTTTGTTTGCTACAGCATGGTCTAGAAATGTGCTTGCAGCAATATTTATGAAAGCACCTGGATATCAATAGGCTTATCAAAGGCTAGTTAGTTCCAGCTTTTGATTCCTAGGTCTTGGCTCTGATCATCAACTGTAACTGTCTATTAATGATGTAAAAATAAATGTTTGCTGACATAGCCATGAAGGAATCAATAACATTACAGGTTATTCACATACCTCATTTTAAAATTAGGTTCAGCATATGAACACAGCCTCTGTGTTGATTTTGTTCTGTATATTATAGGACATTCTGCACTGTTGACAATTCAATAGAATTAGTAACAGTGTCATCATTAGCAAGTTGGACTGCTTAGCATTTAGAGCACTTCACACATAAAGGGCACTTAACATGAAACTATTTATTGTGATATGAACAGATGGTTTAATGTTTCTGTAGCCTTCAGCAAATCAGACCACCCGTGGCTTTCTTCAGCCACAGGCTTTTAAAAATAATTGATGCAGGGCAATTTTCTAGTAAGACTAACTGGAGTACTTTCTCTCAAACCATCTCCTTACCATCAACATTCCCTACTGCATTGGTTTGTAGTTGACTGGGGTAACATTTTTTTCCCCCTGCCTTACATTCCCTGCTATCACAGATAAGTAATCACTGACATAAAAGAAGAGGAAGCGGTTGAAATTTCATTATTAATGATTCCTTTGCTGTAGGAAAGCTATTCAGAAATGATTACTTTGGAAAATTGTTGTCTCCTGATTGGACATTTGCAGACACTGAAGAGGTAGTTCCCTAGAACCTGTCAATAAAAAATATGAGAAAAACAAACAAAAACAAAGCCCCAGAATAGAGAGCCAAAGCCATATTGAACAAAGTAGAATCCATGTTTATTTCAAAACATCCCAGAAAAGTAATCATGATCCCATCAGAGGATTATATAATTGTTCTCTGGGAGAACTACAGAGGATGAAAATCCTGCTTGCTCATCCTGAAAGTTATAAAAAGTACATATAGAAAGCAAGTGAGCTCTCTTAAAGCACAAACTTTTCTAGGATTTACAATAACACATGGTGATCTGCAGGAGGCATTGTTTAGGCTCTGTTTTGTGAGTCTCTTTAGGGGGATAATGTGACCCTGAAAAGGAGGATTGGTCAGAAAAGATACTCATTTACATGTTCTAAACTATGTAACCTCTGGGGCAAGGCTCAGAAAAGACACACTTGCCTGGGGCTGAGAAAACTGATTATACAGCTGAGGGGGTTTGCTGAAGGCATGTATTTAAGGAAGGGCAAGTATCTCCAGCCTTAGCTCTTAGGAATGTTTCTGAGGGAGTAAAGTCTGCAGCTGTAAAGATTCTGCAGCTTGCCCTTCCTTCCTTCCTTCCTTCCTTCCTTCCTTCCTTCCTTCCTTCCTTCCTTCCTTCCTTCCTTCCTTCCTTCCTTCCTTCCTTCCTTCCTTCCTTCCTTCCTTCCTTCCTTCCTTCCTTCCTTCCTTCCTTCCTTCCTTCCTTCCTTCCTCCCTCCCTCCCTCCCTCCCTCCCTCCCTTCTCTCTCTCTCTTTCTCTCTCTCTCTCTCTCTCTCTCTCTCTCTCCCTCTCTCCCTCTCTCTCTCTCTCTCTCTCTCTCTCTCTCTCTCTCTCTCTCTCTCTCTCTCTCTCTCTCTCTCTCTCTCTCTCTCTCTTTAAACGAACATGTCCCACAGGAAACTTAGGTTTCCCACTGTCACTCTATGCAGGAGTAGACTAAGCTGTGTGTGGCTGCTATGGCTCCTGATTGCAAGGTTCCGCACAGAGACAGTAAATTACCACGTCTACGAGGAAGAGACCCCAGGGACAGTCATCGGTGTCCTCTCTGAACACACTATGCTTGATTCAGCCAGTAAGATTCCTAGAAATTTCCGCCTGATGAAGCAGTTCAACAGCTCTCTGATCCGGGTGAATGAGGCTGACGGACAGCTTACCGTCGGGGAGAGCGGTATCGACCGAGAGCGGCTATGCCAGCAGTCCCTGCAATGCACTCTGGCTTTCGACGTGGTCAGTTTCTCCCAGTTAATACATGTCGAAGTGGAGGTGAGAGACATCAATGACCACTCCCCACGCTTTCCAGCCTCCGAGATCTTTGTGGAGGTGTCCGAGAGCGTGGCTGTGGGCACCCACATCTCCTTGGCAGTGGCCGTGGACGAGGACGTGGGTTACAACGCCCTCCAGAGCCTGCGTCTGGTTGAGCCACACAGCTCCTTTCGCGTGGAGCTGCAGACTCGAGCTGATGGCACCAAATGCGCTGACCTGGTGCTTTTGCAGGAGCTGGACCGTGAGAGTCAGGCTGCTTACAGCCTAGAGGTGGTGGCCCAGGACGGTGGAAGCCCCCCGCGCTCCACCACAGCCACCCTCAACGTTCGGGTTCTGGATGCCAATGACCACAGCCCAGCCTTCCCACAGGGCGCTGTCACCGAGGTGGAGCTGGAGGAGGACACTCCCGAGGGCTCCCTGCTACTCGATCTGGACGCCACCGACCCAGACGAGGGCCCCAACGGTGATGTAATGTTCTCCTTCGGTGGCCGAACCTCCCCTGAGGCGCAGCTCCTTTTCCGCTTGGACCCGCTGTCAGGCCGCCTGACTCTGGCTGGGCCCGTGGATTATGAACAGAAGGACACCTACGAGCTGGACGTGAGGGCTCAGGACCAAGGCCCAGGGCCGCGTGTGTCCACTTGCAAGGTCATCGTGCGCATCCTCGACGTCAATGACAACGCGCCGGATATAATCATCACTCCACTGGCAGTGGCCACCACCACCGCCTCCGACCACTCCAGCTTCTTCGCCTCTTCAGGGCCGGGAGGCCCGCAGCCTGGGGTGTCTTCTCTCATCCGGGAGGGGGTGGCTCAAGGGAGCCTCGTGGCCCTGGTCAGCACCTCGGACAGGGATTCCGGCTCCAATGGACAGGTGCGTTGCGCCCTCTATGGACACCAGCACTTTCGACTGCAGCCGGCCTACGCGGGCAGCTACCTAGTGGTGACAGCGGCTCCCCTGGATCGCGAGCGCATCTCAGAGTACAACCTGACCGTGGTGGCTGAGGACCGCGGATCCCCTCCGCTGCGCACTGTGAAGCCCTACACCGTGCGCGTGGGAGACGAGAACGACAACGCTCCGCTCTTTGCGCGTCCCGTCTACGAAGTGTCAGTGACGGAGAACAACCCTCCGGGAGCCTACCTTACCACAGTGGTTGCTCGAGACCCAGACTTGGGCCGTAACGGCAGGGTGACCTATCGGCTGTTAGAGGCCGAAGTGGGTTGGGGCGTGGGCCTGGTATCCACCTACGTTTCTGTGGACCCGCGCACTGGGGTACTAAGGGCTCGGAGGAGCTTTGACCGCGAGGAGCTGGCCGGACTGGAGGTGGGGCTGGAGGCGCACGACGGTGGCTCTCCGCCCCAGTGGGGCCGGACCGTGGTGCGGCTGGTGGTGGAGGACCAGAACGACCACGCGCCCGAAGTGACTTCCCCACTGCTTTCCAATGGCTCAGCTCGCGTGCCGCTGCCCCACGGGGCGCCCCCGGGCTTCCTGGTCACCCAGGTGTGGGCCCATGACGAAGACGAGGGTCCCAATGCCGAGCTGACTTACATCCTCACCCACAGTGACGGCGGCCCCGGGGCGCTGGCGCTGCACCCGCACACGGGCGAGCTGTCGCTGCAGCAGCGGCTGTCGCCTTGGCCCACCGACCTTCTCACCTTGGTGGTCACAGTGCGGGACGGCGGGCGGCCGTCCCTCTCCTGCACCGCCACCCTGTCCTTGGTCCCCGCGCCTGCCTCTCCCCCTGGCGGAAATGTGGTGTTGGTGCCACCTCCACCCCTGCCACCGCCTTCAAGAGAGGAGCTGACTGGGGCGCAGCAGGGGCGGCTGCAGAGGGGTTTCGAGTGGAGTCCTGACCTCTCCACTATCTGCATTGGGGCGCTGGCCGGTGGATGCGGGCTGCTGCTCGTGGCCATCGTCACCGTGGCCTCCTCGTGCCGGGGTAGGGGCCTGGTCGGGAGGAAGGCGTTTTTCAAGGGCAGCACGAGATCAGGACTGGCCAGCTCAGACAGCCAGACATTTGGCAGCCAGGGGTCTCCTGGAGGGTCGGATAGTAATGACTTTGAGAGCCTCGAAGAGTCTTACCATCTTTCTGTCACAGATGAAGTCGAGAAAGAGGAGGAGGAAGAGGAGACTTTCAGCACACTTCGTTCGAGGGACTGTGGGGTTTCCCTTTCTCCCTCATCTCCAGAGAGGAATAAGACTCCCAAGTCCCAGGTACCCCCCTCCCCAGCCTTAGAAATTCTAGGAACCCTTACCACAAGAATTCTGACCCAGCGCCTGCTGGAGCTTGAGTTTCTGAAGCTCATTTCAATTTGCTAATTCTTCCAGGGGCAGAGGTGGTGTGTATTTCAATTAGCAAAGAAGATTCACTTCCCATCAGACTTACAGATTTGATGATTTTTATGTTGCAGGCACAAATATGTTTATGTGCTGTGTGCATTGTCTCTGTAGTTCAGTTTTAACACAGCCACAATGAAGGGTTTAAATGATATCTTTGGGAAGAGTTTCACATGACTGATTGGTGTGTCTGCCTTGTGGGTTTTGATGAAAAATTATTAACTGCTACTTTCACCTCACCTCTCTTTAATAGGGTTCAATCTCAGCTCCTTTTCATTCCACATCTCTGTGGCAAGAGGATAAATCTGCTTCAAGTTTAGGGTAATTTCAGAATATTTATTGTTATGTCTCAGCAATATGCTTGACATTTTTTATGTTGAACATTTTTATGCGTAACCAAAGTAATTCCTTCTTTTTGACTTCCAGTACCCATTCAAGACCAGATGAATCCAGTGTGAAGGACAGTGGGAAAGGAGACAGTGAATGTAATGACAGTGATTCTGATATTAGTGGAGAAGGGGTCAAGAAAATATCTTTTCAGATAACTGAAAAGCAAGCTGGTAAGTGTATACCTTCTAACTATGGAGAGCTCTGACTCTCTCTGATATCCTCTTCATATATTTGTGCTGACTAAAAGAGCAAAATTTAGCAAGTGATCACAAATGTGACATGGAAGCAAGGCTCTTGCTGACTCCTGCTGGCTCAAAAAGGAGAAACTCTGAAACTCATGATAATTGATACTGTGTTACCTTATAATGCTGACAAAATGTCAAGTATATCAGGCATGTGAGATTCTTAGAAAGGAATTTCTAAGATTTCAGTTAGATTGGAACACTACTTTCAGCATGGACAAAACTCCAAATGTTGTTTTCAGCAGCACAATATAAAGGCGCTACTACTTCTTGTTCTCCAGGTATTATATACTTCCATTAATGCAGTCTGAGATTATGCTGGCTTCTTAAGCAGCTGCATTAGATTGTTTTACTGCTTGGAAGATTTTAGTGTTATCTGAGAAGCTGACTTTCATTAAGAATGTGTTTATAAAAATATGACATAAGACTATTTCAAGAACCAGTCCCTGGGAGAGGTACATGTTATCCCCATCCTTTATTGTTATTGTTCCTAAGCCAGGTCCCTATCCTGGATAATATTCTCTTCAGTTCCAGTGAATCAAAAGTTTGTAGATTAAGTACATAGCAAACAGTTGAATGGAATTAAAATAATGAATCATAAGTCTTAAAGAGTATATTTTCTTGGAAACAATTAGGGATTGAATCTGTGCCTTGATTGACATTATTTCATTGAAAATGATTATAATGTTATTATTCACATCATTGAACCTTAGACACAGACTAGCAATAGTCTGGGGGTGGACTAGAAGCTGTGTTCTCAAACTATTACTCTCTTTCCAGAGTATAGGCCTTCCTTGTGGGCAGGTAGAGTAATTATTTCTTGGGAGTGAAGTTCCCTGGTCAGCCTTGATGTTAGCGATTGTCTCTCTCCAATCCCACAGAGATTATTTATAGAGAGCTACATATCTCCCCCTAGAACAGGTGATTCCTGGCTCTTCAGCAAGTTATGCTGTGGGTTTCATTGTTTATCCCTACATGTTGAAATTTGTCTCCACTTTTGATTGGCTTCAGTGATGTGCAGGATGCCCTGAGATGTATAGCATATAGACAGTAATATCTGAATGCCCCAACTTCCATATTCATTTTTTTTCCTGAAGGAATAAGACTGAGACACAAAGGTTGTACCTACTACTTTTTAACACTCAACTATAGCATTAACATAATCAGCATATATCTTATGATTGGATACAAAAGGTTCATGTAATAATAATAGCTAGAATTAGTTTGGCACTTTAAAGTTTGCCAAGTGCTATATAAACATTATATCATTTAATCTTCACAACAATTCTGGGAGGTGCTATTATTATTCTTTTTTCACAGATGAGAAAAGTGAGTCAGAGAGAGGTCACATGACTTGCCTAGGGTCAAATAGCTAGTAAGTATCTGAGGCTAGATTTGAACTCAGGTTTTCATGACTCTAGATCCAATGCCCTATCCGTTGTGCCACCTACCTGCCTCTAAATATCAACACTCATGCTCCAAACATTACTTTCTGATTGAGTTTACTGTACTAATTATACTTTATTAATTAGAAACCATTTGAACTGGATAATAAATGCTTACACTTAGAATTTCTTCATCTTTACAACCATCATGCTAATTGTCTAAAATATGTTCACTGCAGCTATCTCCTCAATAATACTTCTCTCTCCCAGTTTACCTTTCACCAACAGAGCAATCTTTTTATCGCTCTCAGTCATCATCCCTCACCACTATCTCACCTCACTCAATCTTCACTTAAAGTTCAAGCTAATCATTTGTATTTATGATCATTCTAACTTCCCTCTTTCCTCTAGTGGATCAAGCTTTCTTGAATCAATTACTTATCATCTTCCCTTCATCACTAACAATTCTATCTATGAGTCCCTGTGCTCCCTAAGTCAGTCCTATAGCATATACCAACATTTATTTTCATTTTTGAAATGTTTTCTAAATTTTAACTTTGTTAAAGTCTCCTAATACCATGGGACTCTGTCTAATGATTGTGGACCCATTTCACATTCCTTATGAGTATCCTATACTGAACTTTAAATAAGACTGTTTGAATTCTTTATTTATGTTACTGCGTCATATATCACATTCATCTATAAAATTGCTTTAGCAGGATGACTGAAAAAAGGACAAATTAGTGTAAAAACAGGTCATAATCAGGCTAGACTTCGAACAGATAGAGATATGGAAAGCTGCTATAGGCAATGTATTTATTTTTTATATCAAAGTCCTGATACATAGTAATGAGACATGGAAAGGAAGCATGGATAAATAAAATCTGAGTACAAACTCCAAACCTTACTTCAGCTAATGGTTTCAGCCTTTTCATTACGTGCTATCTTTATCAGCTATGTTAACAAATAGAAGAAATGATTAATTTGACTTTTACTTTCATTTATTTCTTTAGCAATAAGAGGGTATACAGAGGCCAGAAGAGGGAAAAAAAGGAGTAAAAAAAGGAGTAAACAAAGGGCTGGAAAACTGGTCCCTTAATAACCAAGGGTTGATTATATTTCTAACATACTACTATATAACATTCAGTTCTAGTATGTTTTTCCCCCATAAATGCTTAAAAACAACCCAATTCTTCCTTTTTTTAATTTTTAAGGTGTTCTGGGAAGTATGGCAAGAAGAACTTTTAAGGATCCTGAAAGATCATTTTTAATGTGGGAGTCCCAAGCAAGCAAGAATCTTTCATCACACTATGACAAGGCCTATAGGATTGCATTTTCTTCAGGTGTCATCCATCAGCATCTTTCTCAGCTGAGAAATACTAATTTTCATACAGAAGACTCTAAGCTAAAAGAGTATTATTATCAAGGTAGTGCCCCCCAGAGTGAAAGTCTGCCAAATGTGTATGAAAGAACCCCGAACAGTGGGACAATGATGCCACCTTCTACTCCGTTAAGACAGTATAATGGATTAAATCATCCCCCAGAGAACACTTTAACTTTGCACACCTCTGAAATAAGCACATCATTCTGAAATGCCAAAGAATGTAGGGGGAAAAACCATGGAAATACATATATTTCTGTGTTTGTGATAGTTTCTTTAAGACAAGTGGTAGAATAAACCTTTGATTTTTCTGAAGGTTTCTTTAAGCTATGAAAACATCAATGCTGGGGATACATTATAGGACCCAACTATTTTACCAAAGATTCTTATTGAGAGTAACATTAGAATAAATAGTATTTGTTGTTACAGATGTAAAAATTGCAAGATGTATTTTATATATTGACACAATTTATAGATGTAAATGAAAAGAGTAGTTCTCAATGTTTATTTGTACTTCAAGGTGTATGTGATTCAATTATTAAGCTAACTCAGCTTCAAAATAATGTAAAACTGGGAAGAGTTCTCAGGAACTACTTGGTTCTCCCCTTCAAGGTAGCTTGAGAGGACCCAGAGCCACTTCTGTGGTTTAAACTTGTAGGCACATTTTAATGCTTGGCAACATTGACTGGTTTGAATATTAAGACAGAGATCGTCCTCTGCCCATAGCTTTCTCTTCTTCTTCTAGTTAGCAACAATTAATTCAGCCATCCCCAGTGATATCCACATGGTTTTGTATATTGCATGTTACACAGCTATGTGTAATTTCTATATAGAAGTTGTATGGTATAATTCCTCAGAGATTTACTTCTCAAGCAATATAGCTTCTTAAAGTTAAAAGAAGATACCCAATAATCTAATATTGTCCTTAGGCCTGAAAAGCTTCCAATAGGTTGTCAATCTTAACCTCTACCACTTTAAATCCAAAATCGAAGTAATTGTAATTTCAATTTAAATTACCAAAAAAAAATATCTACTCATCTTTATTCCTATAGCTTATCAAGAAATGTTCCTGTATTCATCAAAGTCAGTCCTTGGTGGTAAATTGGTAAATTCATTTAAGTCTGTCCAATGGCTTATATGTCCTTTTTAATACTTCAGTAATTATTCTCTTCTTGTTGTTCAGTCTTGTCTGACTTTTTGTGACCACAATTTGGGGTTTTCTTGGCAAAGTTACTGGAGTGGTGTGGTATCTCCTTCTCTAGCTCATTTTACAGATAAGGAAACTGAGGCAAACAGGGTTAAGTAATTTGCCCAGGGTCACATAGCTAATTAACATCTGAGGCCAGATTTAAACTCAGGAAGATGAATCTTCCTGACTCCAGGCCTTATCTATCCACTGCGCCACCTAGCTGCTAAGGTACAATAAATGGCAAAAAGAATGTCTTGAAAGAGTCATGCCTTTCAAAATGCCTAATTTACTACTGTGGAGTGACAGATACTACAGAAACCAGAATTCAATGCAGATGTACCTTGATTTGCAGAATATTTTCCTAAATCATTGTGTGCTCACTGATTGAGCCCTCTTCTTCCATCATTCACTGTGGCCCAAACACGCCTTGCGTACTTTTGCTCTCCTGACTGCTCATATGGGTTCTATTTTTTTTTTGTAAATCTAATTACATTTAAGATGCACTGAATAAGCTTGTTGTCTATTGGAATTGATTGGTAGAATCTTTAGTAAAGCAAAAAATAGAAAACTTTTTACTAATTTTGCAACCCTATTTTTATGTATATTAGGCATACCTCTAATTCCAATGCTGCTATACCATAGCTTTGTAGTCCCTAGGAATTTGTGTTTGATAAAACCCAAGTTTTGCTTTTTTTCTAACTACAGTCTCAGTGAGAAGTACCCAGGCTGTTTATCCTTGCTAAGCAGGCTTTTGAAGCAATTGAAAACCATTCCACAAAATATTGCTTAAGAAAATCAAGGGAAGCTTTATATTTGTTCATCAAATAAGAGAGTATTTTTAATTATCAGTAAATCACTGACATTACCACTTAGGTAATGTTCTTAGTAGGTTCTGCCTGGAACAAATAATGTTGATCTTTGACAGAACTGCTTTGTTCATTAAAATGAGTACAGAAGGAGTAGAGTTAACAATTGATTATTCATTTGCTTGTATACTGTAATTAGCAGAGGAATACACCAATCAATTTTAAGCCCACTTCCCTAGTCTATACATGCACGGGGATTGATTGCTGGTTTGAATTTGCTGAATAAAAAGTGAAACTAACTAATTTCAATTTGTATTTCATTGAATAAATGTCACATATTGATTTCTGTGACTGACTACTAGTGAGGCATTGGGTCATTCTTTGAAGATGGCAAGGCACCATTGTATTATATAATTTTATTTCATGTCTCTGTAACAGGAAATATTTATATATTGAAAAGCCTCAGACTGCATCCCATCCTATCACACTCTTTCAACCTTTCACCCCTTTTATCTCAATTTGTCCATTCCTGTTTATCACTGGTTTATCATTGCAATGGGTGTGCAGTGATGCTGGAATTGAAGGGTGAGACGAACACTCACTCAGTAGGACAACTGTATCATATCAAATTTTCATTGGATTTCTTACACTATAGTAATTACATTTCAGAGGTCATGATTTAACCAATGAAACAAAGTAGGTCAAAGTGGATTTCTGTTGTCCGTTCATATAATTTCCTTAAGTTCAGGCCATATCAGCATTGTTGAATAGGTTTTATCAAACATTTTTTAAAGGTATTGAACCCTTTTGCACCGACAAATTTTCCACCTTGACCTATTTCTAGTGGCTGCCATAAATTTCAAAAGTGATTTTATTAACCTAAGAAAAGCATGCGTATTTTTAAAAAGGCACTGCTTTTTCTCTTTCATTGTGGTTTCTTTCTCTCCTTTTCTTGTTTAAAGAATTCTTCCATCTGTGTTTCCATCCATCCATCAGCACACATTTATTAAGCAACCATTGTGTAGTAGGCACTGAACTATGCCTGGGGGAGATATAAAAATAAAATTGAAATAGTCCCTGACCTCACAAAGCTTACATTCTAACAGAAAAAAATGTGTGTGGGTGTGTGCACAGAGAATGTTTTCATGGCACATGTGCTATGTAGTTTTTGAAAGGGAGTTTGAAATGTTATATGGAATCAGGAAAGGTCTCATTCATAAGGTTCCAGAACGGTATCAGAGTTCTGAAGGAAATCGTGGATTCCAATATGGACCTGAGAAGGGAGGATATTCCAGGGATTGGATACAGTCTTTACAAAGGCAAGGGGATGGGAGATACAGAAAGAGTATGAGAAAGAGCAAGTTGGCCAGTATGGTTACACGGTCAAATGTGTGAGTGGGAGTTATATGTAAGAAGATTGGAAATGTAGAAAAAGGTCAAATTGTAAAGGGTTTAAAATGCTGAAAAGAGAATTTTGTATGTGATGCTAGAGGTAACAGACTGTTCCTGAGTTTGCTGAATAAGTTGAATAAATATAATCAAATCAATACTTTAGGAAAATCACTTTGGTTGCTGATGGATGGACAATGGAGGATGGATTGGAGTGGGGAGAGACTTGAGGCAGGGACAACAAAAAGGAGGCTTTTTCAATAGTCCTTGAGAGAAGTGATGAGCGCTTGAGCTAAGACAGTGGTTGTGTGAGTAGAGAGATCTGAGAAATAGAAATGACAACATGTGACAACTGATTGAATGTATTTGATAAATGAGAATGGGGAATCAAGGCTAACACTAAGCTTTCAAACCTGGGTGACTGAAAGGATAGTGATATTCCAGGCATTAATAGTGAGACTTTGTGAAAACTGCTTTCTCTGTGGTCAAAGAGAGAAGGTTCTCTACATCTAACCGTGTGAATTTCTAGGAAATGTAGTCCCAGATAGCATTGCTTATTCCCATGATAGGAGAGACTGAAATCCCATCATGAAAAGATATGCAATTGGATATTAGATTGGGAGGAGATACCGAGTGCATGATTTAATAAAAATGGAGAAAAAAGATCTTTAAAAAGCAGAAGAGACAGGTCATTCTGGCCACTGTTGCTTTTGTAGCCATGGCAGACTTTTGCACAGGGGCATAACAAGGTTGAGAAGAGATGGATGATGGAAGGATAGAATGAAAAAGGGCACCTTGTCATGGCTAGTGCTGAGTATGATAGAGTTCCACCATAGTGGCTGATACTTTTGTCTACTGAGGCATTTAGGGTAGCTGAAGCTAGAGCATGAGGCATGGCTGATCAATGGTGAATTTTTCTCTGACATCATGCAAATTGTTCAGTGGCTCTTCTTTCTTCTCTCCTTTTATGTCTAAGAAAACCAATGTCTAATCTAGAGTTTTCTGTTTCCAAAAGTCACTTACTTGCTGTTTTAATTAGTCCCAAAGTCAGTCAACTTCCTCAAGGCTTCATTATCTGTGAAGAAGGCAGAAAGAAAATGGGCAGTGACTGGCATGTTACATTTGTGGAGAGATAAAAAAGACAGAGGTTCAAACCTTCTGTCTAAAATGCCATGCTTCCATTCTGACTGAGAGCTCTAAGACCAAAGCTGATCATATTGAAATTAATTTATTATCATTATTTGGTAAATATCCTAAAGAAAACAAAGTCAGGTCCATTTTTATTTTTGTCCTTAGATGAAAGCAGTCTCTTTGCTGCCTGGGAGCAGTCTGGATTATCAGGTCATGATTCTTTCTTGTAGTTGAAGGAAGTAACAAGATAAGAAGTGCCCAATAAAAGGAGAAAAAGAATGCCTGGAATTGGCCAATAATGCCCACATTCCAAGAGTTGGGACTAGAGGAGGAATCGAGTACATTTTCTTTCTCCGTCTACTACATCCGTTACAAAGGATATAGTGGAAAAATTCAGAAATGGGATGGATTTTGGGGAAAATATGATGAATCCTGCTTTAGCCATGTTGACTTTGCTTTGCCAAAGAGGTATTTATTTCAAAATGTTCAACCATCATTTAGAGATTTGGGTCTGAAGCTCAGGAGAAAGACTATGATTGCATATGTAAATTTAGAAGTAATCTGAATAGAAGTGACAGTGGAACCCATGGGAGCTGATGAGATCAATAAGTGAGATAGTGTAGATAGAAAAAAGAGGAGGACCAAGGACAGAACCCTGGAAATATAACCACATGGTTGTGACATTATGATCTAACAAAGGAGACTAAAGAGCAGTAAGACAGGTGGTGGGAGGTGTGGTGGGGAAGAACCAAGGGACAGCAGTGTCACAAAAACTCAGAGGAGTGCATATCCAGGAGTAGAAGATGCTATCAGAGTAGTTAAATGCTACAGAAAGGTCAAGAAGGGTGACTACTAAAAAGAGATCACTCGTAACTTAATAGAAAGCAATTTCAGTTGAGTGATATGTTTCAAGTCAAACTGGAGAGGATTTAGAAGAGAGTGATAAGGGAGGCAGCAAAGGCACCAAGTTCCCTCTTACTCTCCTTTATGTTCATGAATTTATTCCACTCCCTTACTTTTTGCATTTGGTGATATGTGTCGCCATCTGTTCTGGGTGAATAGTATTAACTATTTTTATGACACATTTTGCAAGTGGATTAGCATTCATAATTCAGTTCACCTGAACACAGTAATATTTTGTAAAGCCCTCATATAAGAAGTGAAATTTAAATGTAAATATCATCACAGTGATCTTTACAGACTTTAAACAGTTTGATTACTTAGCCTCTTAACTATGTTTGAAGTCAATGGCAAGCTTGGTAAACAGATGGAGCAGTATAAACTGAGAAAGCAGAAACCAGGAATAATAAATACACTGATCCAAGAGACAAACACTGACAAATTTACAGTAGCCCTTTAAGAGAAAAATACCTTCCATCCCATCATAGCACTGCTTTGGCAAAGACAGAGATGACCTCTTGTCATTGACAGAGATTTATCGAGTACCCATAAGGGCAATGACATGCTATGGGCTCTACATGATCATCCCTGATTTCAGAGCACTATGCCATTTTCACACCCTGGTACCCCATCAAATAAAATAAATTTGGATTTTGTTATATTTCTGGAGAAGAATGACATTGGCCCTTTTAGGTTCAGGGATCAGGAACCCCAGGGACATCTGATCTTACTAAATTACTTGATTGGATTGTTGGATCCATTAGCAGGATACATACAAAATTCCACCCAATGAT